CCCCCATGGAGAATGGCATACCTGCAGGCTGCATACAAGTGATCTCAACATTGCCGAGATCACTTGTATAAAACAAGCGACGGCTTCCCCGCTGTACATTTAGTAGTGCTTGCCCAAAACAGGGCTAAATGTAGAAAACAACTGCCCGCCCGGCGCCTGGAACTGCATGTCCCGGGCATCGGGAGATAGGAATTCCACACCCCTGCCGCCCCTCTACTCCCTGCTGCCCCAAGGCCGGGCCTTGGTTGACCTTGTGGGAAATCCGGCCCTGATTACTGCACAGATCTGGAAGATATACACAAGATTCAAGTAAGAATACACATGGCTCTTATTTTTAGACAATATTTGATTATCCCAGAGTTCATATTTACCCGACACTCCCCTTTCTGCCTCCCAGTTTTTGTCTAATACATATGATCATTTGTCAGTCATCCCCTTTCACAATGGAAGTATCTCTATTGATAGAAAAACTTATAGTACTGTAAGTAAACTATTAAAAATGCCAGAAAGGTGGCTTCAGACTATTGCACTGTAGTAACGTGTAGTTAAATGCATGTTTTACCACATGTTCATGCAATGTGCATTAGCGCACAGCACTTTATGTGGTGCGTTTTGGTGCCATTCATTTAGAATGGCATCCAAATGCCTGAGTACAGTAAGGTACAGGGCACTACAACACACTTGCCCTGTGGCATGCTGCATTACCAAAAAAGTACAGTGATGCGCTTGTCTTCTGTTGGCCTGCTTTGGCACCCCATTCTAAATAAAAGGTCTGCCTTAACACAATGTACATTAAGTTGTGCGCAATAACTCACCGCAGAAGTCTGAAAAAGACCTTGTTGGTTTTTTTTCTGTCTGTGATTAGAGCTTCTTATAGCACAAAAGATGTGGTGCTGCAATGTACTGCACCTTAAAGTCAGCCCTTTTATTTAGAATGGGGTGCCAAATCGGGCCAACAGAAGACAAGCGCATCACTGTACTTTTTTGGTAATGCATTGTAGTGCCCTGTACCTTACTGCTCCTCATTAAATCAGAGCACGTCCAGTATTTATTATTAAATATATTAACGTTCACTGAATGGCCGCTGTGTTGAGAGGGCGACTCCCTCTGTTCTGACAGGGGAAAGTTGTTCATCAAAACGCAGTACCTGGTCCTGAAGGATCTCTGTAAATCACTGTAGCAGCCACAGCTACAACAGTGTTTAACAGCATCCCTGTGGCCCTACCTGGTATAAAATACAGTATGTATACTTACTTAGGCCAAGCTGGAGCAATGTAAGTATATATAAATATTTAAACGTGGCGTTCAGCTGGGTTAAATTTTAAACTTTCATTGCTGGGTGTAACAGGATGCTTGTCAGGATTTAAAATAGTTGTCATATGTCAGTTTCATATTGTCATATACTCAGTTATTTGTCATTATTGTATTTCATTTTGCTATACTTTAATGTTTTTTATGTTCTATGTGTCATGAACACTTGGTCAAGTGAGGAACTGGAAAAGTGATCAGTAATTTATGTGGCCTGCTTTGTGTGTCTTGTAGCCATGTTTATTTATCTTCTGGAGGAGGGGGAAGTGGTAACGAGCTTTGAGGCAGTGACTGGCAACAGGAGGGTTCAAGCACAGATTCAGAGTCAGAATCGAATGGAGGAATGCTGCTTTAGTTGTCAGTGGGAGGCCCTGCCATGTTACTGCCCAAGTGGTGAGTACCCATCAATTCCATGTGAGGATGCATATATGATGGCCTCATAGAGACACACATTTGCCTTTAGCTTTGTGTAAATGATTAACAAAGAGTGTCAATATTGCAATCAATGCTAATGGACTTATTGCAACCCGAAAAAGTGAATTTGATTAAAATGATATTGAAAATTATATGCTCATTTCTCAAACCCTAAATTGGCCAAATATGTAAACAGATGATTCTCCACATCCACTAGTGCTGATTTTTGAATGGAACAATTTCGGAAGTTCAGCCTTGCAGTCATTACTGTGACTTTCTGGACACACATCAACCATTGCACTGGTAAAATAAAAGTCTACAAAAGTAACAAATGTTTTACCTTACTATGCCACACACTTCTTGTCTTAGAGTGACAACGCTCACTCACTATACTGTATCTGTGGAGGCAGGGCCGGCCTTAGGGGTGTGCGAGCCGTGCGGCCGCACAGGGCGCCATGGCAACAAGGGCGCCGTGCGGACGTCACAGCTCGTCCTGTGGGCGGCTTCTCTCCCCCTCGCCGCTGGCCATCCGATATGACATCGCTCCCTCGTCCGCCCCCCCCACCCTTCAGGGGGGGGGGCAGGAGGGGGCGCTGCCTGCTGTCAGGATGGC